TCATTGAAGCTCAGCGCGCGTCAGCGGAGGCGCCCGAACAAGCTCCGCAAACGCCGGCGCGGGCGGCGAGCCCTCAACGGGGCACTCCTGCCCGCCGTCGCAGAAGGCGATGCCGGGGGCGACACGCGCCAGCGCGTCGGCGCGCCCCGTCGCGAGCCTCCGCACGCGGAGACGGTCGGGCAAGTCGCCGCAACCGCAAGCAGCAGAACGGGGCCCAGCGCGGCGGAGTCGCGCACCGCGCGCTGAGCAGCGCGAAAGGGTCGTGCACCGCGACGCTGCGCAGCGCGACGGGGCCCATCGCAAGCTGCCTCGCATCTGCGAGCGAGGACCTGCAGCGCAACGAGCATCAAGTCTTTGAGCAGCGTACCCAGGACTAACGCCACGACGCTGAACAGTGCGACGCAGCCGAGCACCGCGACTGCGAGCAGCGCGACGGGATCCAGCGCGACGGAACCGATCGCCGCGACGTGGGGCGGCGCAAGGGGGCCACGCGCCGCGACGTTGAGCAGCGCGACGAGATCCACCGCCGGCGACCCCGCGTCGACGAGCGATGCGAGCAGCGCAACGAGCGCCGCGTCTTTGGGCAGCGCGCCTGGGGCCAGGGCCGCGACGCCGAGCGGCGCGACGGAGTCGAGCACCGCGACGTTGAACAGCGAGGCGGGGCCCAGGGCGACGGAGTCGAGCGGCGCGACGCGGAGCAGCGCGGCGGCGCCCATCGCCGGCACAAACGCAGCTGCGAGTAAGACGCGCAGCAAACATCACCGCGTCTTTGAGCAGCGCGTCTGGGACCAGTGCCTCGACGCCGATCAGCGCGACGGAGTCGCGCGGCGCGACGCTGAGCAGCGCGACGGGACGCGGCGCAGACGAGCCAGGCGCCGCGACATTGAGCAGCGCGACGGAGGAGAGCACCTCAAAAATGACCAGCGCGAAAAGATTCAACAGCAGCAATGTCGCATCCACGGATGAAGCGCATAGTGCAACGGGCGCCGCGCGCTCGAGTGCAGGCGGCGCCAGCGCCCCGACGCTGGGCAGCACGACGGAGTCGAGCACCGCGACGCCGAGCAGCGCGGCGGGGTCGAGCGCCAAGACGCTGAGCAGCGCAACAATGCAACGAGCAGCGCGTCTTTGACGGCGCGCCTGGGACCGGCGCCTCGACGCCGAGCAGCGCGGCGACGCTGATCGCAGCGACGCTGGCCAGCGCGACGGGGCCCAGCGAGAGTGAATGCGTCGAGCGCCGCGTCGGTGAGCAGCGCGACGGGGTCGGGCGCCGCGACGCTGAGCAGCGCGACAGGATCCAGCGCCAGCAGCTCCACGCCAGGCGCGCCGGAGTCGCGCGCCGCGCAGCAGAGCAGCGCAACGGGGCCCTGGGCAACGGGGTCGAGCACCGCGTTCTGGCGCGCCGCGACGAAGTCAATCAGCGCGACGTCGAGCAGCGCGACGGGGTCGAGCACCGCGACGTTGAGCAGCGCGACGGGGCCCCGGAACCGCAGCCCCGTGCGCGCATATACTCCGGACAGCGCAACGCGACGAAGTCGAGCGCGACGTCTCTGACCAGCGCAACCGGACACAGCACCAACCCCAGAAAAAAATACGATCGAACCAGAATCGAGCACCGCGACGTCGAGCAGCGCGACGAGATCCCGCGCGACGGAGCCGAGCACCGCGACAGTGAGCAGCACAATGGAGTCGAGCGCCGCGACGTCGAGCAGCGCGACGGGGCCCAGCGCCAGCAAAGCGGGGCGTTCGCCGACAGGAGCTCTGCCCCCGCGCCCTGCGCGGTCCATGGCACAGTGCTTCCACTATCCGGACTGGCTCGCGGGGCGCGGGGCGCGCGCGCCGGCCTGTTGCCGCGAGCCGCATTGACCCACTGGAGGTGAGATGCGAACTTCGTTCTATTCTCACGAGCCGCAGTGGCCCACGGGGGGTGGGGCGCGGACTCAAACCAGCGCGGCGGCGCGCGCCGGCCCGACCCTGCCGCGCGGGAGGGGGGCGATCGCTCCGTCGAGTGCCGCGGCGCCCAGCAGCGCGATGGCAAACAGCGAGCCGACGAGCGCCAGCGTGTCGGAGAGAGGTATAGGCCGACCCCACTTACCACGCGGTAGACGAGCACTATTACCCATGCACCGCGGCGCAGAGCACCACAACTAGCACCTGCAGCGCACCGCTGGCGAGCGCGCCGCACAGAAACAGCTCGACCCTAACTCGCACGGGCGGGGCGAGGATTGCCTTGGGCGCCACGTCGGCGAGAGGCGCGGCGGGCGCCGACATCTCGACGCGCGGCGCCATCTCGGCAGCTCGACGCTAGAGTCTACGAGAGAGGCGAGCGCCGCCTCGACCGACGCGTCGCTGACGGCCAGGACAAGCGCCAGAAGCGCGCCAAGGAGTTGTGCGTCGAGGGGCGCCAACAGGCCCCCGGCGCGCGCCAGCGGCGCGAGCGCTGCCTTGAGAACCGCGTCGCGGAACTGCGCGACGCGCGCTAGCGCCTCAACGTCGAAGAGCGCGCCGCTGAAAATCGCGGCGGGCACCAGCGGCGCACCGCCGAACGACGCCGTTTCAAACGCCTCGCCGCTGAGCCGCGCGACGCGCGCCGGCGCCTCGACGGCGCGCGACGCGCCGCGCGCCAGGCGCGCGCCGCGTGGCAACCCGACCCGCGCTGCGACGCGCGGGAGGCGACTGCCGCCTCGAGGGCTGCGCTTTCGATCCCTGGGGGCGATGCGCTCGACGCGGCGCGCGTCGCGCGGGCAGTCGGGCGTTCCGGCTGGCCCGCTTGGCCCGGGCGCACGCCTACCCGCGCGGCCCCCGCGCTCCGCCCAGGCCCGCCCGGAGCGGCGCGGCCGCGGACCCGAGCGCCGCGCCGCCGAGCAGCGCGAGCAGCCTCGCACGCGCGAGCGACACGAGCAGCGCGACGGAAACCGCACCATTGCGCAGCGCGCCTGGGGCCGGCGCCTCGACGCTGAGAAACAAGACAGAGTCGAGGGTGGCGACAATCAGCGGCGCGACGGTGTCCAACGCGACCGAGTCGAGCATCGCGACGCACGGCAGCTCTTCGGAGTCGACCACGACGGCGTCAACTGTTCAAAGACGCGACGGGGTCGAGCACCAGCAGCTGCTCCCACATGTGAGACGAGCTGCGCAACGAGCGACGCTTCCTAGAGCAGAACGACGGGGCAAGCACCTCGACGCTCAGCAGCACGACGGAGTCGAGCGCCGCGGAGCTGAGCAGCGCGACGGGGCCCAGCGCGACGGAGTCGAGCACCGCGACGTCGAGCTGCACGATGTGGCCCGAAGCCAGCAGCCTCGCATCTGCGAATGAGACGAGCAGTGCAACGAGCACCGCGACGTCGAGCCGCCCGACGGGATCGAGCACGACCGAGTCGAGCGCAATGCCGTTGAGCAGCACTGCGGGGTCGAGTACCGCGACGTGACCTGCGCGACGGGATCCAGCGCCAAACGTCTCGCATCTACGAGGGGAACGAGCAGCGCAACAAACGCCAACTCCCGAGCCGCGCGTCCAGGACAGAGCCTCGACATTGAGCAGCGCGACGGAGTCGAGCGCCGCGACGACGAGCAGCGCGGCGGGTTCCAGCACGACGCAGTCGAGCAGCGCGACGTTGGGCAGCGCGAGACGGAGTCGAGCACTGCATCGCTGATCAGCGCGACGGGCCACCACCAGCAACCTTCCATCTACGAGAGAGACGAGCAACGCAACGAACGAGCATCTTGGAGCAGCACGTCCGGCACCAGCACCTCGAACCAGGAGCAGCGCGATGGAGCCAGACACCACGACGCTGAGCAAATCGACCGGACGCAGCACGACCGACTCGAACGCCACGACGCTGAGCAGCGCAAGCACCAGCAGCCACGCCTTCCAGCGCGACGGGATCGAGCACCAAGACGCTGAGCGAAGCGACGACATCCGGCGCGACGGGGCCGAGCGCTACGTCTTTGAGCAGCGCGACGAAGTCGGGCGCCGCGACATCGAGCAACGCGACGGGATCCAGCAAAAGCAGCCTCACAGCTACGGGGAGACGGGCACTGCAACGGGCACCACGTCTTTGAGCAGCGCCACGTCTGGGGCCCGCATCTCGACACTGAGCAGCGCGGCGCAATCGAGCACAACGACATTGAAATCGCGGGGTCCAACGCGACAGAGCCGAGCACCACGACGGGGTCAAGCGCAACGACGACGAGCAGCGCGACGGGATCCACCGCCACCAGCCTCATCTGCGAGCGAGACGATGAGTGCAACGACCACCACTTCGTTCAGCAGAACATCTCAGACCAGCACCTCGACACGATGCATCGCGACGGAGCCGAGCACCACGATGTTGAGCAGCACGACGGGGGGCCCAAAACAAGCGAATCGAACGTCACGACTTTGAACAACGCGACGGAGTCGAGCACCGCAACGCTAAGCAGCACGACGGAAACCAGCACCGGCAGCGTCACATCTACAAGCGAGACGGGCAGTTAAACGGGCACCACGACGGTGAGCAGCACGTCGGGGACCAGCACCTGTGCACTTGGCAGCGCGCCTGCCACGAGTGGGACGAGTTTCGCCTCAAGTACCGCGCGGCTGCGCACTCCCACGGGCAACATGATCCCATCATCGGGCAGCATGCCCGAGAGCATCAGCTCGGCGGGATGCCCACGCGTGGGATGCGTACGACCGTTAACATCACGTCGTTTGCCACCATGACCAACACCAGCCGCGTATCGGTGAGCAGCACGCCCATGAGCAACATACCGACGTTGACGGCCACGACAGAGGCGAATATTCTCCCGCCTGCTCGCACCTCGACGCTGAGCAGCACGTCCCCGATCACCACGGCGGGTACCAGCAGCACATCGCTGAAAAACACGATCGGGCGCACCATCGCCTCGAGGTGCACCAGCACGACGGGCACTGCCGCGAACACCGCGCCGCTGAGCTACACGATGGGCACAGGCACACCGACGATACACATATCGGGCAACATCCGATCGAGTACCATGTTGTTGAAAACCGTGTTCGGCACCAGCCGCGGACAGGTGAGCAGCGCGGCCACGAGCTACAACTCGACCCTGGCGACCATGTGTGGGACGCCACCGCCATGAGTTCGGACACGAGCCCTGCCAGGTCCATGGTCCAGTACTGTCACTATCTGCACTGGCCCATTGGAGGTCGGATACGAGTTTCGCCCTACTTCCATGAGCCGCAGCGGACCGCTGGGGGCGGGATGCAGGCTCCGACCAGCACGTCGGGAAGCACCAGCCCCACCCGGCTGTGGCAAAATCACAGAACGACTGGATCGCCCTTCATCAGGCCCTATATCTCGTTTGCGCTTGGGCGCAGCCCCAGGCGAGTGACCAAGCGCGACTAGGTGCCCACCACTGGCACCCCAGTGCGACTTTCACTTCTGAGGCCTGCGCAAAACGTTGGCAACTTTTCCGTCGCTTTCATTTTTTTCGGGCAAATGCGGGGGACGCCCCAAGGCGGCGCCTCTCTTCGCTGGGCGCTGGGGCGCGCACTCCAACGCGTTCCTAAAGCCAGCGCCCCTCTTCGCACGGTGGCGCAGACGGGCCCCCGTGGGGTCTGATCACCGCCGATCGACGCTTTTTCCAGCCGCAGACCCTCTCGTCCGTGCCAAGGGAGAAAGCATTCAACCACCCCTTGGTTCGCAAGCGGCGCCCCCCGCTTTGCGAGGCGGGTCCGCTCGGCGCATGCAGCCTGTCCGAAAGCGGTGCGCCTCCCCTCCTCTTCCTCCCTCTTCCCTCCTCTTCCCTCTTATCCTCCCTCCTCGTCTTCCCTCATCCCTCCTCTGGTATTCGTTCCTCCCTTCGGGACGCTCTGGCCGAATAATCGCAACCGCACCCCCATGCCAAGCATCTTTTCTGCACCCGGTGTTCTCCCCCTCCTCTTCCTTCTCCTTCGCCCTCGTCCTCCCTGCTCGTCCCCCTCCTCCACTCCCCTCACCCTCATCATCCCACGTCATCCTCCCCCTTGTCCCCATCACTCGTCATATCACCCTCCCTTCCTCCCTCATCCCCCCAACTCCTGCAAAATCCTCCTCCTCCTCCTCCTTGGCCTCCCCCCTTTTCCTCCTCCTCCTCCTCCTCCTCCTCCTCCTCCCCCTCCTCCTCATCATCTTTTTCCTCCTCCTCCTCCTCCTCCTCCTCCTTCTCCTCCTCCTCCCCCCCTCCTCCTCCACTTCCGTGAACTTTGTTTTCGCACCTCTTACGTAACGACTAGTTTCTCTCGTTGGATGGAGGGTGGATCCTTTACAGAACGGGGTCTCGCCTTAGCGGCAAGCCCATCAGCAGCCACACGGGGCGGTTTCCAGAGAGAAAAAAAACTTCTCGTTGTTTGAAAAGCGGAACTGGAATTTGTTATGAATTTACTCTGGTCACCCCAATCCTCCTCCTGCAATTCCTCCTCATCCCTCTCCTCCGCCTCCCACATCGTTTCTCCCCATCCTCCCACCCCGTCTACTCCTCTTCTCCAACTCCTGTCCCTCTCCACACGTACACCATCTGAATACGACTCTCCTCTCTCCCCGGATGACGTCCAGAAGATGTTCGGCCCCCCTCCGCGTACTGTTTCTTACAAGCCAGATTCCCAGGAGTTGGGTTTTCGCTCGGTTTTGTTTCAAAATGTTGCTCCCGCTGGAGCGCTGGCCTCATTTCTGCGCTTCCGCTCGTTCCGAATCGCGTTCCCGCTGCAGCGCTGGTCGCATTTCCGCGCTTCCGTTCGTTCCGACTCGTGCTCCCGCTGCAGCGCTGACGTCGTTATTTCCAATGCCATGCCACAGCATGCAATGTAATGCAATGAGGTGTTCCGTTGTGCGATGTCATGCCTTCAGCTGCAATGCGAGGATGTGCAATGCTTATCTACGCAGTGCCACGCCATGCTATGCCACGCATTGATCTTCAACGCCAGGCTATGTCATGTTATGTTATGTGCCGCTGTGCGATGCCATTAGTTACGTTGCAACGCTTTGCGATGCAATTCTTCACTACGCAACGCCACGCCATGCTATGACACACATTACGCTCTGCCGTGCTCTTCTACGCCATGTTGTGCCGTGCTCTACGATGCATCGCGCACCATCTCGGGACCATTGCCCTGCTCGACATCCGACAGTGCGAATAGAGAGGAGATCTACGCCATGGTAAAGGATGGGAGGCAGGGGTAGGACGTCAGATATGACGCGAGCGCCCCTAACTTGTCCTCTCCCCTCGCCTCCCCGCTCCCCGTCATCGCCCACATGCGTTGCGTGGCGTCGCGCGCCGCCCCAGACGAGAGGACAGGCCATGGCCGCCTCAGCTCTCCAGCGTGGACATCCCCGCATCTCCCTGTCCCCTCCCCCTTCGCACGTGGGGGGCCGCGCTGGCTCCCAGACGAGCCGCGCGAGGACGGACTGCACCCCCCTCCATTCCGCCGCCTCCGCCCTCCCTCCCCGCTCTCCCGCCTTGTGCCCCCCCCCCTTTTTTACCCCTCCCCACCGCACCCGCCTCCCCGTCCCGTGCCCGTTTCTACGATTACTTAATATGAGTACTACTCTCCCTCTTCCCCTGATGACGTCTTTTGCGTATTCGTCCCCCCCGCGTACTGTTTTTTTACACACACACACACACACACACACACACACACACACACACACACACACACGATTCCACGGAGTTGGGTTTTCGTTTTTTTTTTTCTCGCTGAGGCGCTCGCCTCATTTCTGCTCCCGAATCGTTCCGAAGCGTGCTCCCGCTGCAGCGTGGGCCTCATTTTCGGATCGGTGGTTTGCCTCCGTCGTTCAGGATGGCGTTCTCGCCCCAGCGCGGGCCTCTTTCTCGCGCGCCCATCCGCCCGCCGCCACCGCGCCGCACCCCGCCCCGCCGCACGCACACCCACCGCCACTTCCACCCACCAGCGCACGCACGCACGCACGCGCACCACCGCCGCGCACCGCCACCACCACCGCACTACCCCACCCACCACCACCACGCTACACCGCGTCACACCACATCACACGCGCGCACACACAGACACACACGCACGCACGCACGCACGCACGCACGCACGCACGCACGCACGCACGCACGCACGCACGCACGCACACACACACACACACACACACACACACACACACACACACACACACACACACACGCACGCACGCACACACACACACACACACACACCACAGCCACCACCACCACACAGCCATCACGCACGTACGCACCTGGCCCACCACCAAACCACCAAGACGCCACACCACGTCACACCACAGCACACGCGCACACACGCACACACACACACACATACACACCACCACCACAACAACCACAACCACGCACACACGCACGCACGCACGCGCACCACCACCCACTACGCACACGCGCGCGGAGCCACAGGTCCGCTACGACACGCGTCCGCGGATAGAGAAAATCAGCGCCATGGTAAGGGATGGGAGGGAGGGGTAGGATGTCAGATGTTGACGCGAGCGCACATAACTTGGCCTCCCCTCCTCCCCCCCTTCCCCCCTTCCCTTCTCGTTTCCCTTCCCCCCCTCCCCTGCCCCCCTCCCCTTCCCATTCCCCCTCTTCCCCTCCTGCCCCTTCCCCCTCCCCTTCCCTCCTCGTCCCCCTTCCGTTTCCTCCCCTCCCCCTCTTCTCTCTTTCCCACCCTCCCGCCCTCCTCTCCTCCTCCCCTCCTTTTTCGGAAGGGGGGGGGGGGGCGCTGGGGACGGGGGGGGGCAGCAATGGCTCTGCACGGCACGTCTGCTATATTCCGGGCCCCAGATCCTCCGTCTGCTCGTTCCAGAAGACGCCTCGGCTGTTGCGGCCCTTTTTCTCTTTCTTGTCCTTCTTGTCCTTCTTGTCCTTCCGCTTCGTCCCCGAGTCGTCCTCGTCCGGCTGCTGCCGCCCCTCCTGCAGATACACCAAGAAAGGAGCACGAATGCAACATAGGAAGAGGGGAGAGGGAAAAACAACACTAATCACCGGACAGCTCGGCCCTTGGCCCCCCGCCAGCCCCACGCCAAAGGGCGAGCATATATACGGGCGCAGCACCGCGCTGGATGCGTAGCCGTCGCGCCGGGCACAGCCACAGCTCTTCTCGGTTCCTCCCTCCTCCTTCTCCTCCCCCGCTAGCTTAAAACTGCCACCGAAATATCCTCACCCGCTGGCTTAAAACTGCCACCGAAATATCCTCACCCGCTGGCTCAAGACTGCCACCGAAATATCCTCACTCGCTGGCTTAAAACTGCCACCGACATCTCCTGACCCGCTGGCTTAAAACTGCCACCCAAATATCCTCACCACCTGACTTAAAACGGCCACCGAAATATCCTCACCCGCTGGCTTAAAACTGCCACCGAAATATCCTCACTCTCTGGCTTAAAACTGGCACCGAAACATCCTTACCCTCGGAAATAAGACTGCCACCGAAATAACCTCACCCGCTGGCTTAAAACTGCCACCGAAGTATCCTCACCCGCTGACTTAAAACTGCCACCGAAATACACTCACCCGCTGACGTACAACTGCCACCGACATCTCCTCACCCGCTGGCTTAAAACTGCCACCGAAATATCCTCACCCACGGAAATAGAGCTGCCACCGAAATATCCTTACCCGCGTTTATAAAACTGCCACCGAAAAATCCTCATCCACGAGCTTAAAATTGCCTTCAACATATCCCCACCCGCTCGCTTAAAACTGCCACCGAAATATCCTCACCCGCTGGCTTAAAACTGCCACCAAAACATCCTCACCCGCTGGCTTAAGACTGCCACCGAAACATCCTCACCCGCTGGCTTAAGACTGCCACCGAAATATCCCCACCCGCTGGCTTAAAACTGCCACCGAAATATCCTCACCCGCTGACGTACAACTGCCAATGACATCTCCTCACCCGCTAGCTCAAGACTGCCACCGAAATATCCCCACCCGCTGGCTTAAAACTGCCACCGAAATATCCTCACCCGCTGGCTCAAGACTGCCACCGAAATATCCTCACTCGCTGGCTTAAAACTGCCACCGAAATATCCTCACCCGTTGGCTTAAAACTGCCACCGAAATATCCTCACCACCTGATTTAAAACTGCCACCGAAATATCCTCAACCGCTGGTTTAGAACTGCCACCGAAGTATCCTCACCACCTGACTTAAAACTGCCAGCGAAATATCCTCACCCTCGGAAATAAAACTGCCACTGACATATCCTCACCACCTGCCTTAAAACTGCCACCGAAGTATCCTCACCCGCTGCCTTAAAACTGCCACCGAAATATCATCACCCGCTGGCGTCAAACTGCCACAGAAATATCCTCACCCGCTGACTTAAAACTGCCTGATGGTTCAGTGCAGTCTGTCAGTCCTCGCGAGAATCAAATTACGGGCTGCGCCCGTAAAATTTCCTCACCCTCCCTGGTCTAAAATTGCACCCGCAATATCCTCACCGCACCTAGCGGAAAACTAGCCCTCCCAAATATCCCCCCCCCGCTGGCTTAAAACTGCCTCCCGAAATATCCTCACCCGCTGGCGTCAAACTTCATACTGCCGCCCCAATATCCTCACCCTCCCTGGCCTAAAACTGCCCCCGCAATATCCTCACCGCCCGTCGCGGAAAGCTACCCCCCAAAGATCCTCACTCTGTTGCTCAAAACGGCCTCCCGAAATATCCTCACCAACTGGCGTCAAACTGAAAACTGCCGCCCAAATATCCTCACCCCAAAAATAAAACTGTCATCTAACGGCTATAGTGGCTCAGTCTACTTCAGTTCGGTCAGTCTACCTCGCGAGAATCAAATTACGGACTGCGCCCGCACGTAATAAGAATAGTAATACCGTTTCGAATAAACATAAGAGGGATGATATGAATACGTGCAAAAACGGCTAGCAAACATAACAATATGCATAATCATAGCAAGAAGAAGAAAGCAATACGATGTACAATGATAATGGCAATAACAACAATCAGCAGAACAGAAGAAGAAGAAGAAGACAACGAAGGGAAGCAGTAAAGGAGGGCGACTGGAGAGGGGCCCCTCCTGACCGGACTTCTGCTTGTACATGCTCCTGTAGTACTCGTCGCAGGGGTGGTCCCACACGCTCTCCTCGGGGCGGGCCGCCCCTCCGCAGGCAGCAGCCTCCAGCGGCCGCAGGGGCTCGGGCGCACGCCAGCACGCACTTAGGTGAAGTCGGGCGTGTCCCCCTGCCGGGGGGATCTTCGACGACAACTAAGAAATAGGCAACAAAATGCTTGAGAACGGCCCCCCAAAAATACCCCTCAAATAATCCCCTGACTTGTCTTTAAATAAAATACCCAAAATAGCCCCAAAAATACCCCACAAATAGTCCCCTGTCTGTTTTGCTATAAAAAAAAAATTACAAAAAAAAAGGTTTGAAGATTCCTCCTGTCGGGGGACAGGCCCGCCTCAGCACTGGAGATCCACGGGCCCGGCGCGCGGGCGCGCGGGCGCGCGGCTCTCCACGGCTCGGGGGCGGCAGCCCCGGGAGGTGAGGCAGGCGCCGCCTCCCCGGGCGACGGGCCGCGCCGGCTGCCCGTGGCCAGACCACGCGCCTCCGTTTCGGTCGGGCATGTCCCCCCACAGGCAGGGCAGGTGCTGGACAAAAAGCAAGAATGCTCTCACACATTCAAACATGGGGAAGATCCAGACAACAACAAAAAAACGTCCCCAGACAATGTTTTGACTATTTTTGAAGATGCCCCCTGCAGAGGGACACGCCCAAGTTAAGCCTTCACCTGTGCTTGCGACTCCTCAAGGCGCGTGGAGCGTCGAGGAGTTATAGCCAGCTGGAACACTGCGCCCCCCCCCGGCGCAAGGGGGCGCCCAGCCGAAACGAGGCCGGAAGAACGCGTGCAGAGGACAGGCGGCACCATGGAGAACCGAGAGCAAAAGCCCTGATTTGGGGGGGGGGGGGGCGCCTTCGCCCCAGGGAGACGGGCGCGATCCTCCTCCTCCTCCTCCTCCTCCTCATCCTCCTCCTCCTCCTCCTCCTCCTCCTCCTCCCCTCCTCCTCCTCCCCCGCCTCCCTCCTCCTCCTCCACTCCTCCTCCTCCACCTCCTCCACCTCCCCTCCTCCTCGTCCTCCCCCTCCCCCTCTTGCCAGTCTTGTTCCTCATGCACCTTCACCTCCACCTCCTCCTCCTCCTCCTCCTCCTCCTCCTCCTCCTCCTCGTCCTCCTCGTCATCCTCATTCTTTCTCCTCCCCCTCCTCATTTCTCCTCCCTCCTTCCTCTTGTTCCCCGTCTTCCCTCCTCCAGCTCTCCCCCACCGCTTTCCCCATCGACACCCCTGCCCCTCCGCAAGGGGCGCAGCTGCCGCAGCTGAGCACGTGGTCGTCGGTCGGTCGGCGTCGTCGCTGGTCGATGACTATCGGTCGGTCGATCGGTCGGCGTCGTCGTCCATCGTCTGTCATCTGTCATCGTCGTCGTCCGTCGTCGTAGTCCTTCGTCTATCGTCTCTCGTCCGTTGTCTGGCGTCCGTGGTCGTCGTCGTCGTCGGTCGGTGAATCGGTCGGCGTCGGCGTCGGCATGGGCGTGGGCGCGGACGTGGGCGCGGGCGTCAGCGTCGGCGTCGGCGTCGTCCGTGACTGGTGGGTAGTCGGCCGTCGCACGTCCATGCATCGTCGTCGTGGTGTCCTGACTCTCGAAGTTGAAGTAGAAGATCTCTCCCTCCTCGGACTGACAGGGCTTCCACGGGTGCGGCAGCGGCGCCTTCAGGCCCGCGCGCGCGATCCAGAACAAGTGCCTGTCCCTCTGCAGGTCCATGCCCAGCCACTCGGCATACTCCTCAATCTCCTGCTCGCTGGGACTTCACCCCGACCCTCGAGGGGCGAGGATGTTGCTTGTTTTTACCCACGATGGGGCGAGGAGTGGAGGTTTCTGGACGGCCACGGCAGCATTTTCCCCACCAGACAGGTTGTGGTCGCTAGATCTTACGAGCAGACCTCCCGCCTCGCGCCACTCTGCATACCGCGGCGGCCAGATCCCCAGGTCCCCCGAGTGTCCCCGAGAGTCCCGCCTCGCGCCACTCTGCATAGCGCGGCCGCCAGGTCCCTATGTCTCCCGAGTGTCCCCGAGAGTCCCGCCTCGCGCCACTCTGCATACCGCGGCCGCCAAGTCCCTACGTCCCCCGAGTGTCCCCGAGAGTCCCGCCCCGCGCCACTCTGCATAGCGCGGCCGCCGGGTCCCTACGTCTCCCGAGTGTCCCCGAGAGTCCCGCCTCGCGCCACTCTGCATACCGCGGCCGCCAGATCCCCAGGTCCATCGAATGTCCACGAGTGTCCCGCCTCGCGCCGACTCGCCCACTCTGCATACCCCGGCCGCCAGATCCCCAGGTCCCCAGAATGTCCCTGAGTGTCCCGCCTCGCGCCACTCTGCACACCGCGGCCGCCAGATCCCTAGGTCCCCCAGTTGTCCCCGAGTGTCCCGCCTCGCGCTGTCAAATCATAACATGACAGAGCGGTAGTATAATCTAGCACCACATTGTACAGCATAATACTATAAAGTATGGCAGAAGTGACCATAACACCATACAACCTAACAAAGCGTATACGAACATCCCCGACAATAGCATGGCAGACTCATTCGTATCAGAATGCGTCATGACAGCGCAGTGCATACCCTAGCACGGCATCACAGCACGGATCACTCCATAACATGACAATGCTAGCATACTATACGAAAGCATCGCATACCTGACCATACAAGAACATCACATGATACGGCCTCATATACCATGACATAACATAGCATAGCACAAAACAGCATACCAACGCAGGCTCTGACAGATCGGAGCATCCATGTCATAGCATAACAGAGCACAGCATACCATAACGTGACAGAGCAGAGCATAACAGCATATGCCATGACATAACACACCACAATACAGCACAGCATCACAGCATTGACAGCATGACATAACTCATCACAGCACAGATGGCATACCATAATAGGCAGAGCGCGGCTTAAGATGTGGCACCGCAACATAATATAACACATCATGCTAACATAAGATACGAAGGAACAAATCACACAGAACAGCGCATGACACCACACCTCATATCTGAACATAGCAGAGCATGACATAACATACCCTTATAGCACACAGCATAATATAACATTCCATGGCACAGAAGATCACGCCGTAGAACAGTGTCAAAGCACGCAGAGCTCCACAACATTTCAAAAGGGACGTGCGCACCGTTGGGAGCAAGCGCCGAAGGCTTCGGTCGGAATCGCGCGAAATTGTGATTGCCCATGCGTGTTCCCCGGAAGTCCCGACACTCTCCCCCTTGCTCTGCCGCCTGTGCACATCTTGCTTCGCTCTTGACGCGCGCCCCAGGGCCCGGCGAGGACCCCCGGAGGCCGAACGCCAAGAACCAAAGCACGCGCTGGTGCTCCCAGTGCGCTGCAGGACTGGGCTCCTCTGGGCCTCTGGAGGTGCCCTTGGACCTCGGGAGGCCTCCGCGGGTCTGGGCCCGGGGCGGCAGCAACACTCGGCATCTCCTGCTCAGTCGGCTCGTACTCGGGGTCGACGTGCTCGTCCAGTACGACGTTCTTGGCCATGGTGCGCGCGCCGCTGTCCTCCTCTATCCTCCTCCTCCTCCTCCTCCTCCTCCTCCTCCTCCTCCTCCTCCTCCTCCTCCTCCTCCTCCTCTCCTCCTCCTCCTCCTCCTCCTCCCTCCTCCTCCTCTCTCCTCCTCCTCCTCCTCCCTCCTCCTCCTCCTCCTCCTATCCTCCTCCTCTATCCTCCTCCTCCTCCTCCTCGCCTCCTCCTTCTCCTCCTCCTCCTCCTCCTCCTCCTCCTCCTCCTCCTCCTCCTCCTCCTCCTCCTCCTCCTCCTCCGCGCGGAGGGGGGCGGGGCCGCCGCCCTACCTCTCCGGGGGCCGCGCGCGGAGCAAAGAGAGCCGAGAGGGGGGCGGAGGCCGGCGAGGGAGGGGGAGCGGGAAGGGGTGGGGGGGCGCGGGAGGCTCCGCTCGCTCAGCGTCGGTATCGGGGAGTTCCGCACTCGTCTGAGCACTCGTACGCACACTAAGCACACGCACACACACACACACACACACACACACACACGGGGAGGCTCCGCTCGCTCAGCGTCGGTATATCGGAGAGCTCCGCACTCGTCTGAGCACTCGTCTGCACACTGAGCACACACAATGGGGAGGCGGGAGGAGGGACGAGGGGGAGGAGAAGGGGGAGGGGGAAGGAGGGGGAGGGGGACGGGAGGGGGGGAGGGGGAGGGAGAGAACGGGTGGGAGGGAGGGAGGAGCAAGACTGCCACTGGAGGGTCAGAGGAGATCAGGAGGAGAAACAATGGGGCGCGGCTACAGGAGAGGGGCTTTCTGCACCACTCTGGGGGGCGCCATCCCACAGTGGACCAGCGAAGGAGGGAGTGAGGAGAAGGTGGAGGGGGAGGAGGCGAGGGCCATTGGGGGCCCGAATCCGTGCCGCCCCCCCTTCGGCCCTCGGCGGCCACAGGGTCGGGCGGCCGTGCGGGCCGGCCCCAGGCGCGCGCTTCCCAGCAGGCGCCGCGATGGTTGAGGGGGGCTGCCCGAACGAGCGGAGGCCCTTTAGCAAGAGACGTGAAGAAGACATCCGCACCTTCGGCCCCTCCGCAGCTCGCCGCCTCGCGCGACGCAGACGCCGCGACGCCACAGAGGCGTGGCTGCGGTCGCATCCGGAGAGGGAGCCCAACACCAAGTACATCGTTGTAGAGATCCCCGTCCACACCGCCTCAGACGTCGGCCAGCAGACCGAAAGGATGCTGGAGGAGTTCTGGGGACAGCGCTGGATGCCAGACGTCAGTGGCAGCATCGGTCAAGAAGCGATGGCAGTGGCAGCTTGCAGGGGAGACGGCAGTGGCAGTATCGGTCAAGAAGCGGCAGGCAGTGGCAGCATGCGAGAAGGGGCGGCAGTGGTAGCAGGAGGCACAGGCGTCCGCGACGAGGCGGCACCCGACGTTAACAGCTACAGCGCGGGAGTCGCATACCCCACTGGGGCTCGCCTAGCTGAGGTGGCCCAGGCGGCCGTGGCAGCCGCCTCCACCCGTAAGAAGAAGGACGGGCGGGCAGTGGTGCGAGCGGGCAGTGGTGCGACGAGGCAGCGGTGCGAGGAGCCAGGAGCGGCGGCAGTGGCGCTAGCGGGCAGTGGTGCGAGACGCGGAGGCTGGCAGTGGCAGCCAGCCCTCGACGACCCCCAACGCCCCTTGACGTCCTCCGACCCCCCACGACGCCCCTCGACGCCCCTCGACGACCCTTCGACGCCCCTCGACGACTCACGACGGCCCTCGACGACCCTCGACGACCCTCGACCACCCTCGACGACCCTCGACGCCCCCTTGCGGTGCGAGCGACGGGCAGGTGTGCGAGCGGCGGGCAGAGGTGCGAGCGGCGGGCAGTGGAGCTAAGCGGCGAGAGGCAGTGGTGCGAGCGGCGGGCAATGGCGCTAGGCAGCGGCAGCGGGCAGTGGCAGCTGCCAGCAACGACGCCCCCCGACGACACCCCTCGACGCCCCCCGACGACCTCGTGCCCATCGACGCCCCCTGACGACCCTCGACGCCCCTCGACGCCCCTCGACGACGACCCTAGACACCACTCGACCCCCATCGACGACCCCGTGCCCATCGACGACCCTCAACGACCCTCGACGGCCCCAAACGACCGACGTCTCTCGACGACCCTCGACGAAGCAACCCCAGAGGGCGAGCCTACGACCAGGGCACGCGAGCATGGCCAAGACGAAGCCCCGACGCCCCCCGACGACGCCCCCCTACGTCCCCGCCCGACGCCCCCCGACGACCGTCGACGTACCCCCGTCGGCGCCCCCCTACGACGCCCCTCGACGACGCCCTCCGACGCCGTCCCCACGACTACGACCCACGATGAGGCTTCAGCGGCAGCAGGAGGGACAGAGGCAGCGTGCGCAAAGAGGCGACAGTGGCAGCAGTGGAGGCAGCGCGCGAGAAGCGGCGGCAGCGGCAGCCGCGGGCAGCGGCGACCCGCGCCTGGCCGTCGCCGCGGCAGCCCCTAGGGCCACGGGCGACAGCGGCGAGAGCGACCCTGACAGCGGCGCATTGCCGCCAGAGGCGTTCGGAGGAGGCGAAGCAACAAGCCAGAACCAAGCGAGCGCGAAGCGTGCAGAACCTCAGCGCGCGCGAAGCGGAAAACACAAACAACTACGAGACCCTCGACGGTACTCGACGACCCTCGACTCCGTCCAGGAGGACTCCGACAGCGACGCCGACGACGACGCCACGCCCCAGGACACCATGTCCGACGGCGTGACCCCGCCCCCAGGGACGCCAACGAACGACGCCCCCCCGACCCTCGACCCCCCCCGACGCCCTCCGACGGCCCTCGTACGTACCTCGACGCCCCTCGACGACCCCACGCCCGACTCAGACGGCCCAGCCGAAGACGACTCCGTCCAGGAGGACTCCGACAGCGACGCCGACGACGACGCCACGCCCCAGGACACCTTGTCCGACGGCGTGACCCCGCCCCCGGGCCCCATCGAGGAGAAGGAGGGCCGCGAGCAGCGGCAGCGGGCAGCGGGCAGTGGAGCTAGCAGTGGCAGCCAGCAGTGGCAGCCGGCAGCGGAGCGAGCAGCGGACAGCGGCGCGTGCAGTGGCAGCGGGCAGTGGCAGCCTGCAGTGCGAGAAGGGGCAGTGGCAGCAAGCTCGGCGATGCGCGTGCACGAAGCGCAGCGAGCTCGGCGATGCGCTGCGTCACACCAATGGCGTGCTGCAGCCATCGCAGCGCTCCAGGCGGCAGGATCAACCCCCGTCAACGCCTACTGCCTCGTCGACATGGTTCTCAACAGCGGCCCCGTTCCCGCATGCGTCAAGGAGACTCTCGCAGGCCTCGGCAGCCCCTGGCCCCAGGACCACCCCCATAGGGAGGACTCCGACGGCTGCCCCTACGACAATGTCCCAGCGTGGGAGCACAGGACCATCGCGAACACCATCGAGAGCGACACGGGCGAAGCTGGCAGGCAGCGGCTGCAGTCCGAAGCGCGTCTGCGGGAAGAGGCAGTGGGAGCAGGCAGAGGCGCGAAGCCGGGAGGCCACACGTCATCAGCTACAAACGCCGCGAGGCGGGAAGGCGAGCCGCCAGCCTGGCGACCAAGCCTCCGGACGTCCCCGACCCGGAGGGCGCCGACGCCGACCCCGACGCCGAGGCAGCCCACCTGAGCCTCGAGTACCCCATCGACATCGCCCCCTCGGCTGGCGGCCACCGAGGGGGGCAAGCGACGACGAGCAGAAGAGCGGGCACCAGTACTTGCTCTTCTGAAGGGGGGGAGGGATGGTGGTCCTCCCCTCCTATCGGCTACGCCCCCCCGCTGTGGGGCGCACCGAGCCGTCACGCAGAAGGACGCAGAAGGGGGAGGAGGCCGCGATCGCCCGATCCCGCCCCATTTGCCCCACCGGAGGGCCGAGGCGGCGGCCAGCGCGGCCAGGCCAGGCCCACGATAGGCATCAACATTCGCAACCTGACCTGTTTCTCTTGTCCCCGGCGTGGGGCCACGCCGACACCCACGACAAGAGCCAGATCCAGATCACCCGCCTGGCACACGCGGCTTCGTCGGCAGCGTGCTGACGCTCGAGTTCTACTGCGCCTGCGGAAAACACGACAATTACCGCAAGCACACAACAGCAGTGCACAACACCCACCGCGACATCCGCCACGAGCTCCAACAATGGCTGCACCGTGGCGAACGACGTCGAGCCAAACGCCGAGCAGAGGCCCACCCACGCGACCTACTTTACCTGCGACGGGCGCGGGATTGGACAGGTGGAAGAACGTCCACTGGGCTGCACAAAGGGCGGCTGAACATCCGACCCCTACCGGACCAAGGGTTCAGGAAGAAACAACAAGGGCACCCACGGCAAAGGTACGGGCAGCTTCCCCAAGACGGACGACGAACACACCGATTACAACATCCCGCATAGAAGGGCAAGCAGAGAGACAAGAACGACAAAAAGGGCAAAGGGGACGCGCCTGCCAAGAAGAAGCAACGCGAGGCAAACCAAGACTACAACAATCACATCGACAGGACCATCAACAACTTCATGCCCATGCGCAAGGTCTACGCTGCCAGAGCTCAAAGAGGATCGGAACACGATCAAGGCCAACGAACAACGGAAAGCACCGGCGGCCATCATCAAGAACAGCGTCACCAGGATCCAGACGACCGACGCAGAAACCCACATCGCCTTCATCAAAGCCATAACCATCAGTAATATGCCGCTCGCCCAACAAACCAAGGAGGAAATCGAACGCACCAAGGATGTGATGGAAGACCACTTCGAGTACAATATGGCAAACTAAAGGGAGGTGGAAGTCTACACGGCAACCCTGGAGCGGAAAACCGCCGAACTCCACACCATCATGCGAGACATCAAGTCAGCTAGGGACGACGCCTACAACGACACAAGGGGCCGCCGATGACGAGGCGGAACCATCCAACAAGAAAGACAAACCGTGGAGGGCCGCAACACCGGCTCCCAGGCCCCGCCCATGACGTCAGGAGCAACAAAAAGGAGGCCAAGGAGAACTTCGGCAACCTGAACAAGGGCACCAACAAATGGGAGTC